CCCCGCAATCTCAACTAGGTGAGTACAACTAGGTGAGTACACACACACACACACTATGCAACAGGCCTAGTGTCTAATCGACATGTGCCTAAGACAAAATGGTAACACACACACACACACACACACACACACACACACACACACACGCTAAGGTTTGCGACAAAGTTAGTTCCAGAGCTAAGGGGAATGTCCTATGAAGAAAGGTTGAGGGAAATCGGCCTGATGACTCTGAAGGACAGGAGAGATAGGGAAGACATGATAACGACATACAAAATACTGCATGGAATTGAAAAGGTGGACAGAGACAGGATGTTCCAGAGACGGGACACAGAAACAAGGGGTCACAATTGGAAGTTGACGACTCAGAAGAGTCAAAGGGATGTTAGGAAGTATTTCTTTAGTCAAAGAGTAGTCAGGCAGTGGAATAGTCTAGCAAGTGAGGTAGCAGAGGCATGAACCATACATAATTTTAAGACAAGATATGAAAAAGTTCGTGGAGCAGGGGGAGAGAGAACCTAGTAGCGATCAGTGAAGAGGCGGGGCCAGGAGCTATGTCGTGACCACTGCAACCACAAATAGGTGAGTACACACATGCGCACACACACACACACACAAGCAGTAACTCGAAACATACGTCAAAAACGAAATTAGATTCAGCTGTTGTGATAAAATATTTGTCCGCACCTTAAGAAACAGTGCTGATATAAAATACTTTCACATAAAAGAAATTCAGGTTAAAGAAATATGAACATTGGTGAGAAACTTAAAAAGCATTGTAAACACCCTCGTTGAAAGACAACATAGAAAGCAGAGATCTGATAACTACAAAAGTACATGGCAGGATGTGTGGTAATACAACGAGGCAAACTTACGTAGACGCAATGTTATTTGTTTTTTTAAGACTGTAGCCACGTACTGCTTAGGGTAGATGATTAACCCTAAATGATTTCAACTGTGACCATAATTATTAAAGGGGTGGACCGGTGAGCCAGCGGTCAGATGACCAAAAGCTCAATGGCGGGTCATCTATGACCCGCTTCAGGGAACACTTGTCTTGTTTCTGACAAACGTTGTCTAACCTAATCTGTATCATGAGACTGTAATTTATTAAGTATTATTACAACCCAGGCACAATAAGGCCTGTTATTCTGGGTGTAAAGGAGAGCAAGGAGCAGAACACAGCTGAATGACTTTGAAATATATTTTCCTTCACCAAGAGTGATACTATATACAGTTGGAAATGTATGTGTATAACACGGTTACTTAAAGGCCAAGACACAGCCTGGAGGCAGAATGGACAACCGTGCTCAACCAGCTCTAGAATGGAAATGACAAGGGTGGACAGGTGGGTAGTGACCACAACACCTCCACAATTTCCAGACCCACCTTCTCTTTGGCTGAACCTGGGTACTGATCGAACGATGGGGCCCCATCATTCGACCCTTAGTACTGGTTCGCTGGTTGGGGAGATGGCCTTTCTATGAGGATGGGTACATGCGCCGAATAAAGGTTACGTACTCTTTGCATGCCACAAGTATAATACCTTAAAGCTGTAACTATAACCCAATGGGGTCTGGCTGTAATATATGAAATGATTTCATTAACTTAAAGCTAAGACATATACGAAATCAATGAGATATAGCAAAAACAACTCACAACTCAACCCATAATTTATTCCACACCCCACAACGTATCCCTTACTCTATTATACAACACACAAACTCTAACCAACGGCGCACAGACCTAAGCAGCGTCATCTGGAGGCATGACCATGTAACGTTCAACACACTCGTTTATCTCAGTACTTATCTCAAATCCTGACAGATATCGCTTCTCGCCGGAGGCGCACGGAAGGCCTTCAACAGCGTCTCTTCTCTTTCAGTCTTCACAAATCTGTCAGCATGTTTCATTGACTACACATATAGGGTATATACACTGATGAGTAAATCTTTTAGTATGGTAATATATATATATATATATATATATATATATATAATATAATATATTATATATATATATATATATATATATTATATATATATATCGAGAAGTGTATTTCTCTCAGCGGATATATGCTGAGAGTTTAATATATATTTTTTCGATTAATTTTTTTTCTCTGGTAGTGAAACGGTGCAGCAGCGTTAGTGTAGTCGACAGGCTTCAAACTATATTAATTAACTAATCTCTCAACGTATCGACACTGAGTCTATTTTAATAATTATTTTAAAGACAACGTATTACTGAAGTTAGTAAATAACAAAAAGGCACAATACCGTGACTGGAACGATACACAAATAACCCGCACATAAAAGAGAGAAGCTTACGACGACGTTTCGGTCCGACTTGGACCATTGACAAAGTCAATGTCAATGGTCCGAGTCGGACCGAAACGTCGTCGTAAGCTTCTCTCTTTTATGTGCGGGTTATTTGTGTACTGAAGTTAGTGTTCACGTGAGCTGTAACCTCAGTGACCCACAAGCAGACGATAGTCTTTAAACTTTACACGCTAGGTTTAAAACCTATCGACTAGTTGATTTACTGGGTATAAAGTCATTAAGGCCGAATGTAATCTCTACACCACCAGTTAAGGATACTGTAATCCCTAAAAAAGGATTAAATTCCTTAAAACATATACATTGAAAAATACACATCTCTGTGTTCATAACCTTTGCCTACTGGCTAGCAGTATACCTTAAATAGGGCTGGGTATACCTTAGGTAAGTTATATTTATACTTATTTATGGCAGGTTATACAAATAGGTGGGGCTCAGAATACGTTAGTATAAACTGGATATACCATAAATAGGGCTGGAAATGCCTTACATTGAATTGGATATGCCTTAGGTAGGGCTGAGTATACGTTAGATAGGGTTGGATATACCTTATTAAGGTTGCATATATCTCACGTAGGGTTGGGTATATGTTAGACAGGGTTTTTAAGGCTAGATATATCTTACATAGGGCTAGATCTGCGTTATATGGGGCTGGATATGCTTAATATAGGCTGGATAAGGCTGGATATTCCTTAGAGCTAGAAATACCTTATAAGTAAGTATACCAGAGATAGGGCTGGATATACTCTAGATAGGGTTAGGTACACGTTAGATAGGGCTGGGTACACGTTAGATAGGGCCGGATACACATTAGATAGGGCTGGGTACACGTTAGATAGGGCCGGATACACATTAGATAGGGCTGGGTACACGTTAGATAGGGTTGGGTACACGTTAAATAGGGCTGGATACATGTTAGACAGGGTTGGGTACATGTTAGACAGGGTTGGGTACATGTTAGACAGGGTTGGGTACATGTTAGACAGGGTTGGGTACATGTTAGACAGGGATGGTACATGTTAGACAGGGATGGGTATATGTTAGACAGGGATGGGTACAAGTTAGACAGGGCTGAGTGAACCTTAGACAGGCCTGGACATTCCAGTGAACTGCGGTAGAATAATAGAACTTACTGTAAATTCAGCTATTTATTACTTATACATGAAAAGTAACTATACAGCGAGTCATTATTTCACGTAGATTTTAATATCACGGAGAGAACTCACGAAATCGTAATAATACGATTGCAAACAAATCACAGAACGGGTAGGGTGTTGAACCCATGGCAATCGAGTCACAATACTCGCCACAGCCACACACACACACACACACACACACACACACACACACACACACACACACACACACACACACACACACACACACACCCACACACACACAAAACAGGCCTAGTGTCTAATCGACATGTGCCTAGGACAAAATAGTAACTAACACCGCGAGAGTGGAGTAACGGTAACCCCTCATCCACACACCTCCCCCTCCCACCACCGGACATCCGGTCACAAGCCCCTCTCTCCCCCCCCCCCCCCTCTCCCCTCTCTCTCTCTCTCCTCTCTCTCTCTCTTCTCTCTTACCTTTCTCTCTCTCCCCCTCTCTTTCCATCTTTCCCCCTCCCTCTGCTCTATCTCTGTCTCTTCCTTTCTATCTTCTATCTCTCCCCTCCTCACACACACCTTCCATTCATCTTCCCTTTCCTCCCTTGGCCTCCCCTACCTCCCCACTCATTATCCCTTGCCTTCTTCCCAGCATTCGCTCTCCCTCTCTCTCTCTACCCCTCTCTCTCTCCCTCCCCCTCTCTTGCACACAATCTCCTTTCCCTGGTAAAAAAAAAATGGGCAACCCAAGAGGGCGGAGATCCAGAAGGGAGGAACCTGCGAGGGAGGATTGGGAGGTAGAGCTCACAAAAATGGAGGAAGAGTGGGGAAGGAAGCTATCAGAGATCGGCAGGATAATGGAGAAAAAGATAGCTGAAGAGAGCAGGAAGTGGGGACTACAAGTCTTAGCAGCAGAAGATTAGATAAAGTGCTTAGAAGAGGAGTTAAAAACCCCGAAACAGAATAGAGACAAATGACAGCACAGGAATGACATCAGGGACTTCTATACCAGTCACAGACGAGGGGGGCTGTAGGGATTCAGGAAAAGATGAGTGCAAGAAGACCAATCATAAAGCCTGCAGTCAATGCAGGAGACAAGACTTATGCAGAGACTAACAGTCAACTACAGTGGCAGGGAACAGCTGAGCAGGAAAGTCAGTCCACTGAGCATAGGGGCTGCAGCAAGGGCAGGGGTTGAAGGCAGGAACGTTTCGATGGAAGGAAATAAAACACCTCAGAGGACGCGAAGACAGACACAGTGGGAGGACGAGAGGGAGAGGTCAATGTTTGTCTATGGGCTCAAAGAAGTTGAAGGTGAAACCTATGATGACAGGATCCAGGGGAAGAAGAAAGTGATCAAAGGTATCTTGAAAACAATAGGCGAAGGAGACATGACCCAGGTGGCAAATTTTCGGAAAATTGGGTGGTTTGCATGCAAAGTAGTCTTCAAGGCAGAATGAACTCGAACCAGGGTCCTGCGGGAGAAAGCACGACTGATGGACAATTCACAGTACTGGAGCGTGTACCTCGATCGCGACAGAACACAGGAGGAATGGACGAGGCTGAGAAAGAGGGTACAACAATGAAAGAAGGAATGAGAGGCATCGATGAGGATAAACAGAACCCAGACTCAGGTGGAAGGACAAATACACCTTTCAGAGACACCCACAGAAGGACTCCAACCACAACAACCCTGAAGCAACTGAATATCCTCAACCAAAACCCCCACACTGTTCCCTCTGACCTCACCCCCCACCACAAACCCCACCTCTACAGCAGCCCCTTTTGAGCACTCTGCCCCACCTCCCACCACAAACCCCACCCACACTGTGAAAACCCAAATGCAGCTGAACAATCTCAACCAACACCCACACACTGTTCCCTCTGCCCACTCCCCCCACATCACAAACCCCACTGCCACAGCAGCTCCCTACAGGCACTCTGCCCTCACCCCCCATCACAAATCCCACCCACACCACAAACCCCCATAACCCCCCAGGGCTTCCACCCCCAACCCCAATATTCTCCCATGTCCACCATGATAGACAAGAAGCTGAAGGTGTGGTACACAAATGCAGATGGAATAGCAAATAAATATGAGGAACGGCACGAAAGAATCAACGAGAAATCCCCGGACATCATAGCAGTCACAGAAACAAAACTCACTGAGACAATAACAGACGCAGTCTTCCCACCGGGATATCAGATCCTGAGGAAAGATGGAAGGAGCAGAGGGGAAGGAGGGGTTGCACTGATCATAAAAAACCGATGGAGTTTCGAGGAAATGCAGGGCATGGACGAGATTGGAGAAAGGGACTACATAGCAGGCACAATTCAATCTGGGGAACATAAAGTAGTCATTGCTGTGATGTATAACCCACCATAGAATTGCAGGAGGCCAAGAGAGGAATATGATGAGAACAACAGAGCGATGGTGGATACACTGGCTGAGGTGGCACAAAGAGCTCAAACGTGCAGAGCAAAGTTACTGGTTATGGGTGACTCAAACCACAGGGAGATTGATTGGGAAAACCTGGAGCCTCATGGGGGCCCCAAAACACGGAGAGCCAAGATGATGGATGTGGTACTGGAAAACCTCATGCATCAACACATCAGGGACACTACCAGAGAGCGAGGGGAGGATGAACCAGCAAGACTGGACCTTGTGTTCACCTTGATTAGCTCAGACATTGATGACATCACATATGAGAGGCCCCTTGGAGCTAGTGACCACGTAGTCCTGAGTTTTGATTACATAGTAGAGTTACAGGTGGAGAGGGTAACAGGAGTCGAATGGGAAAAGCCAAACTATAAAAGGGGGGACTACACAAGTATGAGGAACTTCCTGCGGGAGGAGCAGTGGAACAGAGAAATGGTAGGAAAGACAGTAAATGAAATGGAGTATGTAACAACAAAATGCAAGGAGGCAGAGGAAAAGTTTGTTACCAAGGGCAACAGAAACAACGGGAAGACCAAAGCGAGTCCTTGGTTTACCCAAAGGTGCAGGGAGGCAAAAACTAAGTGCAATAGAGAATGGAAGAGGTACAGAAAGCAAAGACCCAGGAAAACAAGGAGATCAGTCGTAGAGCCAGAAATGAATATGCACAGATAAGGAGGGAGGCCCAGCAACAGTATGAAAATGACATAGCATCGAAAGCCAAATCTGACCCAAAACTGCTGTTTAGCCACATTAGGGGAAAGACGACAATCAAAGACCAGGTGATAAAGCTGAGGAAAGAAGGTGGGAAACTCACAAGAAACAATCAAGAGGTATGCGAGGAGTTCAACAGGAGGTTTAAGGAAGTATTCACAGTGGAGACAGAAAGGACTCTGGGAAGACAGGACAGAGGGGAACAAAAACAGGGAATAGACCGACAGGTGCTGGACAATATGCACACAATGGAGGAGGAGGTGAAGAAGCTGCTAAGTGACTTTGATACCTCAAAGGCAATTGGACCGGACATCTCCCCATGGGTTCTCAGGGAGGGAGCAGATATACTGTGTGTGCCATTAACCACAATCTTCAACACATCCCTTGAAACTGGGCAACTACCTGAGGTATGGAAGCCCGCAAACGTAGTTCCCATTTTTAAAAAAGGAAACAGAAAAGAGGCACTAAATTACAGGCCAGTGTCACTGACCTGTATAGTATGCAAAGTCATGGAGAAGATTATCAGGAGGAGAGTGGAGGAGCACCTGGAACAGAACAAGGTTATAAACCATAACCAGCACGGATTCATGGAAGGCAAATCCTGTGTCACAAACCTTCTGGAGTTCTATGACAAAATTACAGAAGTGCGACACGAGAGAGTGGGGTGGGTTGATTGCATTTTCTTGGGCTGCAAGAAGGCCTTTGACAGTTCCTAATGAGAGACTAGTGCAGAAACTAGAGGATCAGGCGCGTATAACAGGAAGGGCACTGCAATGGATCAGAAAATATCTGACAGGGAGGCAACAACGAGTCATGGTACGGGATGAGGTATCACAGTGGGCACCTGTGACGAGCGGGGTCCCACATGGGTCGGTCCTAGGACCAGTGCTATTTCTGGTATATGTGAATGACATGATGGAAGGGATAGACTCAGAGTTGTCCCTGTTCACAGATGATGTGAAGTTAATGAGAAAAATTAAATCAGATGAGTGTTTAGTGAGATTATTTCGTAGGCTGGTAGCGGGTAGTAAATGATATATCTTCGGAGGCTTCTTTGTTTATTGAAAATGTCGTGGTGGGTACACAGGCTTGTGTGTTGTGCCCATGGCCCGGGCAGGGCCATCCCACGAGAGAGAGCTAGGAGTAGACAGTTCTTGACTGCGTGAAGAGTGACGCCAGAGTGAGGCAAGGGCAGGCAGGCTGCCGTGTCCACCGAGAGGCCTAGCTACAGAGGGCAGCACCTTAGTGCCACAAAATATGAACTAAGCTGGCAGACAGCATGGGCTGTCTGTGCAGACAGTACAGGCTGTCTACATACGCTCGGCCACATACTGCGCGTCGTCCCGACGCGACAATACTGGTGGTAAAAGAAACTCAGTCTCTCTCTCTCTCATAGGAACAGGGCACAGAACACAAAATAAAAACATATATATACATATGGACATGGAAAAAAAAAAAACTTCCTACAGGGAGGGAAGAAAAAAACATGTGGGGTGTGCTAAACATCGTGGTCATAGGCAGTGAGCGTCGAAGGGCATCACTGCACGCCTTCCTGCGTCTGGACAGATCTGCAACACAGGAGACATCGCTGGGGCTGAGCTGTGACGTAACAGGTTATGGTCTCCTCTGGAACGGTGAAGCAGACATCGTAGGAGTCGCTGCAGGTTTTCACTCAACCTGGGGCACGACATGCTGGTGCCCTCGAGTGAGGCGTCGACAAAACTCGGCAATTGGGCAGGACTTCTGGCAAGCAACTCAGGAGGACACTTCTCGACTAGTACTGTTGCTGGGCTGTCACTGCCGGCGAGTGTGGGCGAGTTTGGACAATCG